TTAGATTAGCAATCCAATAAGCTTCTTTTATTTCTTTATCTGCTTTTAGTTTTGAACCCTGTTTCATTGCTGATGAGAGTAACATCTTTAATCAAATGACTGGGTTAATTAATGTGTTGAGCAACAAGGAGATCTTTTTCAGTGTTAATAGAAGTATTTATGGTTGTTGAAAAGTTCTCTGAGAGTTATTTGTGTATGTCCTACATATTGATTATTGTATTTTTTACAATGTATAAGGTAAATGGTGTTTTTTGTTTCACAAGTGATTTCTTTGGATATTTTAAAGTTTCTTTGATTGTGCTTGTCAGAAAATGAGTCAGTGGTTTTTAGGAACTTGCAGGTTTGACAATGGGCTTTATTACATGGATGACAAAAACTTTTGGGTGGGATGTAATTCACTTTTGTGTGAACAAGTATATCTTTTAGAGTTCTGCTTTTTTGGAAGGAGACAATGGGAAGTTCAGGAAATATCTGTTTAAGGCGATTGTTCAGTTGTAGGAGGTGAAAATGTTTTTTCAGAATTCATGAAACATTTGTGAGTTTAAACTGATAGGTAATAATAAGAGGAATTCTGTTTGAAAGTGTAGTATTGCTCCGATATGGGATGTTTTTCCGCTGAGTGTTGTTAGCCTTTTCAATTTTTCTGTCGATTTCAGTATCTTTATATCCTCTTTCTAACATGGTTTGTTTTAGGTCCTTGGTGTGTTTTCTGTAGTCTGTTTCATCTGAGCATATTTTATTTATTCTAAGAGCTTGACTGTAGGTAATGTTTTGTTTTGTGTGAGAGGGGTGACAGCTTTTTTATAGTGAAAGTATTGTGGTCTGTCTGTAGGTTTTTGTACAAGTCAGTGTGTAAAATTCTGTCTTTTAGAAAACAGTGGCATCAAGAAAGTTAATCTGGGTAAGCGAGTAATCACAGGTAAACTTGATTGTTTTGTAAATGTAGTTTGAATGTGAGATTAATTTATTAAGTGATTTAAGACTGGCTGTCCAAATGAAAAATATGTCATCTATGTTACATTTCCATGTATGAGGTTTTATAGAACTTAGTTGTAAGAGCTGGTTTTCAATATGACCCATAAAAATGTTGGCATAATTGGGAGCCATTTTGGTACCCATTGTAGTACTATTAACCTGAATGTAATGCTCGTTATTGAATTCGAAGTTGTTCAGGGTTAAAAGCAGGCTGGCAAGATCAGTTACTGTTTGAGATTCTGATTGTTTAGAAAGAATTAATGCAGACTTTAGAGTTTGTAGTCCTTCATCATGTAGAATACTGGTGTAAAGGGAAGAAACATCCATCATGCAAAGAAGACTCTTGGGGGGGTAACTATCCATTAGTATTAAAATCTTCTATGATGTTAAGAAAGTGAGTAGTATCCTTTATGTAACAGGGGAGGGTACATGGAATACATTTCATGTGTTGGTCAACAAAAGCGAACAGCTTTTCAATAGCCATGTTTATATTAGAAATTATGGGTCGGCCAGGATTGTTTGGTTTGTGTATTTTGGGTAAGGAAAATCTTGTCTGGGTATCAAATACTGAAAGGTCTCTTTGTTAATTTTACTGTTTTGAAGAAGTTATTTAAGCTTATTAGTTATGGTCTTAATAAAGTGAGTTGCAGGATCGTGTGAGAGTTTTTTGTAGAAATTAGTGTCTTCTAGTTGTCGGTTAGCTTCCGTGATATAATCATCTTTGTTAAGAATAACAACAGCTTCACCATTGTCTGCTGGCTTTATTATGATATTGTTGTTCGATTTAAGATTGTTTAAAGCACTTCTTTCATTTTGGTTAATATCGTTAGGACATTGCTTGGAAGAATTTAAGGTCTGTACTATGTCATTTAATATAACTCTTTAAATCTAGTTCTCTGTTTGGTGGATGTGTCCATAAAGACTTTTCTTTAAAGTTCAATGTATGTTGATTTTCAGTAGGGTGGGTTTTATTGTGGAAAAATTCTCAAAGTCTTAGTTTTCTAGAGAATTCATGAAGGTCAGAAAGAAGTTTGGACTAATTAACATAGCTGTTATATGGGCAGAAGTTGAGATCTTTACTAAGAAGACTGAGTTCTACTTTAAAGAGAGTTATGTCTGAAAGATTAACAGTGTTGGAGATATGTTGGAAGTGTTCATTGTTATCTGTACATTTTATGAGGTCACTGTTATTCTCAACAGATTTGTTAGTTTGAGAATGCATATGCATATTAGAGGATGAAGTGTTTTTAAACATTTTTTTAGGCTGTTCATTGTGAGATAAAGAGATATTAATGGTACAAAAGTTATTACTGTAAATGTAAAAGTAAAGCAAATAAGTTGTACAAATTGCATATTATGTTTGTATGTGAGCCTTTTACTTTATACAGAGTATCACATTCCTTGTTTTCATGCTGTTGTACAGTTTTTTAATGTACAGTTGTGGTATGTTGTTCCAAGTGTCCTTTGTTACTCTTCACATTTCAGCTAAGTTCTTTTGCAGCATTTTTTTTCCTTCCAAGTTTTTATTGCTTTAAGAATATTGAAGCCATGTCATGGTTGTAAATGTTCTGTCAGCCTTTTTACTGTCAAGATATTGTTTCACTACATCTACTTTATTTTTGGGATTATAAACATAGTTTTGCTGGAAGATTAATCCCCACATGATGAGTCATGTTCCTGAGGAAAGGACATGAATAATAAGAATGAGCCAGTGCTTGCCAGCAGTCAGGATGCCAACAGTTTTGTGTAGATCACCAACACTGTTGGCTGAGTTACAGCCTTAAACTTTTACTGATATTCCACCATGCTTCATTTAGAGCTGGACATTTATTGGTATTTGCTAACCAATTATTCAATGGGCTCATTAATCGATTACATTTGAATTGATTGCATGCCCCCAACACATCTATGTCACACAAGTTGTGCTCGCTTCATACCTTTTTCAGACACTGCATTACTCAATCATGGTATTATCGTTTACCAAAAAAAGCTAATTTTTTCTCTAAAAATTTTTAAAGATAATAAGGACATTCCCTGCTTGACAAATGTTACTGATGTTCATTTAATACCACCACATAGTCATCATGTTTGTTTTTAAAATCTGTAGTAATCCCACACAGGTTTTCTGTAAGTCTAATAAATAATGAAAAAGGTTTTACTATTACTGATAAGGGTAGTAAGCTTTTTATTTAAAGTTTCATTAGTACAATAAGACATTTTGAAGTATTCAGTTAACTAATTTGTTTATATACACTGTTCAATAGGATAAACATAAAAATAATATTCAATAAAGTTCTGAGTCATCAGAATGTTTTGCAATTGCATACTGTACTTACTAAATACTAAACTAAATTTAATATTTTCTTTTGTGTTCACTTACTGATTAAATATTATTTTATTACATGTTAAACCTTTATAGTAAGGAATATTATTGTTTTAGAACAAGTACAGTGTTTTTACCACTGGTGCGATTATTCTTGACTTACCTGATTTTATGATGGTTTTATGTGATGGAAGTAATGAAAAGAACTCGTGTTTACAAACATTGCAACTTAATAAAACCATAGCATATCTGTTAAAAAGAAAAAAATACCATAATATTAAATAAAAAAAACCAAACATAAACAAG